CCCAAGCCAGCTTTTAACCAACACACCACTCAGCTGGCCCGAACAGGCAATCTTGTTGTTACACCAGCTGAGCCATCCTGCCACCTGTTGGCAGCTCAGCTCGGGCACAGTGTCACTGGCCCATGTGGGAATTGAACTGGTGGCCCTGTTGCTCAGAGCCCATGCTCTTAAGCCAACTCTTAACCAACTGAGCCACTCAGCTGGCCCTGGAAGGACCACGTTTTGTTTTGTTTTGATAGTCACCATCTTAATGGGTGTTCCCGTTTGGCCTATTAGTGATTCCTTCTGTACATTTTCATGGCCTTTTCTATTGATTCCACCTTTCATGGCCTCTTTCCTGAAGAAAAAAGAAAAATAAATGTGTCTTCTGACTTCTTGTTATTTCAAGTTTTCATCCTAAGTGGTATATTTGGGGGCAGAGGATATAGAAAGAGTATGTGATCTGCACAGACAGACCTCAGTCCTCCCTCCCTCCCACCCATCCCTCCATCAACTCATCCACCCATCCACCCACCCACTCACCCACCCATCCATCCATCCACCCACCCATCTATCCATCCATGCATCTATTCATTCATTCACCTTTTATTAAGCAAATTAAATGTAGGACGTTGTGCTGGTTTATTGTTTAGTAGTGAGCAAAATGGGTTTAGGCAAACTATGATCTGGGAGTTCTGTGGAAAACGAAAACCTTCTGAACTTCAATTCCATTATTTATAAAGTGAAAATGGCATTACGCTCCTGGGGCTGTAGTGTTAACGCCTCCTCCTTCCTTCATCCTGACTTCTTGTCCCACGTCTCGTAGCTGACGGTCCCACTCTTCCCTTCACTGCAAGCTTCCAGAACTCTGGGCACACTGGGTGGGATTAGCCCCTCCTGCGGTCCCTGCAGTTGATGTGCCCAGTTGGCAAGAGCCGGCCTCTGGGTGAACACGCCTTGGGCTCCCTTGTCCTCAGATAGTCAAGTTCAGGGAGCGGGTGGCTCATGAGCCATGGTGTTCATTTCCCCGGGGATGATCAGTGGCACCGTTCCAGAAACTGGTGTGTGCCATGATTGTAACGCCGTGGGACCCTAGATGCCTAGTGCTCTCTGTTTGCTGCGACAGAGATCCTGGGACCCGCCATGCTCTGGGAGGCAGAGTGAGAGGTGTGGGCATGGAGCAAGCTTTGTGCCGTGTCTGGCCCAGGCCATAGGTACCAACAGCCATGCTACTTCTGTGCCTTCAATCTCATCGATGGGCAGTGTGGCAGGGCCCCAGGGCAGAGCACCATGTGGGCCATAGCAGTCAGGAGACGTTGGCGCTGGTCACCCCGCCATGTGCTGGTGTTTCTGGAATATCAAGTTCTCTGATCCTCAGTTTCCTTAACTTCAAAAGAGAAGTTATTTACCTGGTCTGGTTGATTCATGTGATTTTGGTAGAGAGCGGAAGAAACTAATGTATATGAAAACAGAGTATGAGAAACCAGGTTCCTGTGCAGTGTGAAAATAATACCCAGCACTTCTGACACACTTGTCACGTGCGTGTGCCAGGCACTGTTCTCAGCGGTCTCCATGAAGTAACTCATTTAGTTTAATGCTCATAACCACCCTAACCCATGAGAGGGGTACTGTTAACACCTGCATTTTACTGATAAGCAGACTGAGGCACAGAGAGGTTAAGGAACTTGTGGAAGATCACACAGCCAGCAATGGCACAGCCAGGCACTGAGGTGCCAGAGTCNAGCTTCCCCGGCACCCACAGCTTACGTAATCCTGTGCAGTTACTACAAGTCAAAGACCGACATGGGTGCAGTGAGCTAAGCCACACCTTACTCAGATTTCACCTGTTCCCCCCAGCATCCTTTCTTTGTTCCAGGATCCAGTCCAGGACCCCAGGCTGCAGGTCACACTTGTGGGCTTGGACCCTGAGCCACCACAGTGGGCTGCCTGTCGAACTGTTGTTGGCCCAGCTGTCGCTCCTGCAGATAAGGGAAGTGACACAGTTCCCTGCATTGCCTGCCTCTGGCCTGCTGTCCTGGGAGGTCACGCTGTGGGGCCCAGGACTCCGAAAGCGGAAACCCTGTGTGTGGGAGAAGATTTAAAACAGACGTGTGGGGACGAATTTTAAATATGGACCACATTTTGTTCACATGTAGCGGTTAGCAGCTAAAGCCACAGTTTAAGAAACGAAAAATGCTGGGGAGAGGGAAGATTCTGCCAAGGCGCAGCCTCTGCACTGTGTAGCCGTTACGTTTTTGGTGCTTTCGAATTCCAGGTGTACTAGGAGGTTCAGCAGGACCGCCCCCTAAAGCAGAGGCTTTCAGCCCTGGCTGCCCACTGGGGTCACCTGGGGAGCTCCAAGAGGCACCCTGGCCCAAGTCCCATCCCCCCATCCCCCTCCACATTGTGACCTCATCCATCTGGGGTGTGGCCTGGGCTTTGGAACTTTTAAAAGCTACCCTGGTGACTCTCATGTGCAACTGCCTTTGGGAACTACTGCTCTAGTCTCGCTGCTTCAGCTGAAGAGAACTAAAGCTGACGACAATGGGTGACAAGTCCACACACATAAAAGCAGTGCTGGCTGCCTCTGCATTACCTGTGGTGTGACCGCTGTCTCACAGCCGCACCTCCTGGAATCACAAATGGTGTCCTTGGTCATTTCTGTCACTTCTTCCCCAAGCCCTCCTCTTCCAGAATTCCTCTTAAGGCTTTCCAGCTTGCACACCCCATGCTTCCAGCCTGGCCTGTCCCCTGCCCTGTCCCCAACCTGTAAACCATCAAGGCTGCTCACAGCCTGTCTCCTGCCTCGGCCTCCACAGCTGCCTCATCCTGCCTGCGTCCCAGCCACTCTGAACTTCCTTGGGCTTTCACACCTCCATTGCTGTGTACTTGCTGTTCCCCCGACTGGCGATGACCTCACCCTCCCCTGTGGCCTCTATGGCCTCATCCTGTCACTTCAACTCCAGGGTCAGCTCCTCCAGGAGGCCATCTCCAGCCTCCTGCGGTGGGTTTTCTCGCAGCCTAGTCCACATCAGCGTGTTGATTT